TCCGACAGCAAATTCAACGCGCCTGCGCACAGTAGTGCGAATGTCAATAAACAAACGCCGAAGGCGAGTCTAACTGCCACAATATATGTGGACATGTGTAGTTAACGTCTGCGATGCCCTTGAAAGTGGCAGAGTGGCAGAGTGGCAGCTGGTGCTGGTGAGAAATGGGTTAGATGACCAAAGTCAATTGTTGGCAAAATAGCTGTTCAATACATGTTTGTGTGTGTGCATATGTGAAAGTAAAAATAAAAAGTAACTGCCTTTAAGTGTCTGTATATACAGTTGTATGTGTTTATGCTGCCTTCGAGTGGCACAATTGACAATAATGAATCGGACACAATTTTTACGCACACACCACTTTCTAGACTAACGAGAGCCGGCAAAAGGTTTACGCCGCGACTGCTGCTTAACCCACGCTTTTGGCTTTCAAGTGAATTATTAGTATTTATTTGCCGGTTAACCGTACATTGCGTGTGAGGTCACATATGCAGTTGCGTTGCTTGTGTCGTCAGCAGCTTATTGGCCGTTTTGACCAACTTTGTGCAATTGTTGGCGCTCTAATAAGTTGTTTTTTGTAAATTTGCAACTTCCATTCAGAGTTTGCTGATTTATTTTCAATTTGCAGCCTTTTTTTTGCTTTTTATTAATGTTTGTTTAAGTCATTTCGCTTGGGCTGCTAATAGCTCGGGCGCCTCTGCCAGCGGCGCTGTAGTTTCATTTTACAAGTGCAAATTAACTAGTTAAGCGTAAAAGTACACGCCGTGCATTGCGAGCGTGTAATCAGTTTAACACTTAACAGCTCTGCTGTGCGCGCTCGAGGCAGCAGAGTGCCTCTATTCGCAAATTTTGTGGCATTTTCGCAACTAATTAAGTTGATATGACCGTGAGCCTGTTAGCTGTAAATACTTTTGACTTGGCTGTTGTTGCGCCGCTATCTGCGCTGTTTGGGTAATTGCAAAACACACTGCGAAATTTTGTTATCTGTTCGCTTGTAATTAAAATAGAGCCAGAAAAGAGCGATAGCTATATAAATTATTGCTGCAAAAAGGGGGCAGATATTCAAACAAGTGCAACGAGCACCGAAAATCGATAGTTTTTTTGTTTTGCTTTGCATAAATGCGCTTTCTGTTTCACTTTCCAAGCGAGTTACGCGTTCAGCCCATAACCTCAAATAGGCCAAGAAGCGTGTGGTATTTTTATCTGGTTGTGTGTAATAGAGAGTATTATTGTTTATGCCGCTAACCAAACCCGATCTGCCGGAAAGTACTTTCACCACGCTTGGCTTTTTCCGCATTTACTTCTCTCAACCATCTGATCACACCTCTTTTTGTGCGTTGGATACAAATCAATTAATGATAGCTCATAATAATATGTATTTACATGCTATATACAAGGCGTACATATTTATGTATGCAAGATATTAAGTAGTATTAAGTAGGAAGGAAATTGGGTCATATTTAAGTACATGTTTAACTAATAATAGTTATAGCTTTAAGCTTAAAGCCCCATCAGCTTACTGTGTTTCTGAATGAAGATCTTTGAGCATCTGAAAATAATAAAATAAAACCTTGGCACATACTTGCAGAAAGAAGATCGAAAACTTTCCCAAAAAGTTTGGTGGCAAAGTCTCTATGCAAACTACAGTTAAAGAGTATATAATATACTATACTTAATTATAGAATTGTTTTAATGGATAATTTCTCGCGTTTCTTCTTATGTTTAGAATGCGATAATTGATGCACTTTCGGATTTTTCAATTGAGACGGAAGAACAGAAGATCGATAGGAACGGCGAAAGCAGCTATATTTTTCCCCCTCTCTTAAAGTTTCTCTTTAGTAAGGTTTGCCATTTTATCATGGAAATATATATAATCCAACAACGACTTGAAGCTATTAAAATTTACTACCGAAATTCGGAGTAAATGGCCTCCGATTTAAAAGCGCTACGTTCAATCTATGGTAATCGTAATCGTCCTGCCAGATAAACAATTGAATGTGTAGTGGAAAAATTTGAATCGACAGGCATAGTACAAAATGTTCCCGTGCCACTGATGCAAAAAAGTGCTCGTAGTCTCGAGAGTTTTGCTGCTGCTAACGCATCAATTGAGAAAGACCCAAATCCGTCTCTCACACGTCGTTCTCAAGCATTAGACATATCTGTGACGTTGTTGGAGCGAACTTTGCAAAAAGAACCTGGCCGGGTTATGATCCGTTGTCGTCATTGGGCCGTACTTCTTCTGTGATGATCAAGACCGGAACTTTACTGTGAATGGAAATCGCTATCGCTCTATGATAATCGAATATGGAACCGGACGGATGATAAGGACATGGACAATATGAAAACATTTTCATGTCGATTAATAGAATTCAATGATTATGTACTTTCTTACTCTTAACTTTTAAAAAATATTTCGGTGATACCTCTGAACTTTTCTTGAAGTTTTCTTTACTAAGACCATCAACTTTTACCAACACAAATGACTATTACTTTGCATGCCGACCAATATTAAATTTGATTTTTGTAGAATTTTTTTGTTTGTTTTGACGATGCCACCACTTCCGATTATACTTAGGATTTACGGAGCTTTTTCTACTTATCCTACAAAGAAAGGATTCAATAATATTTAATTTACCTCAATACTATATATATATGTATGTATATTAATAAGTTTTGCACTCCATAATTCCGAAAAAACGTGTTACCATATGAACATTTTATGTGTCCAACGTCAAACCTTGACAAAGAAATTGTAAAATGAAAGATCACAAACTGTCCAAACTGTCAGAGCGTGAAAAGCGTGTGAGCATGAATAGGCAAATGCCAAACTTACAGTGCCAAAATGGCGTACAGTTAAAAATGAACAATTTATTGGGTGCATAGTTACATACTAGCATACCAACATACAAGTTAATGACAGAAATTGAGCGAAGCCAACACATTTGGGTGACAATTAATTTGAAATTTGTCAGGAATGTCAGTCAGTACACTTCAATATGTCAAACAGATTTTAAACAATTTTTGTTATTTTACTGGTTTTTTATGAGTGACAATCACTCATCTTATATTTTAGCAGCCATTTATTTTACACCGCATTGTTTTCACTAACGACTTTTACGAACTTTGGAAATACTTTTTCGGAAGTCGCCGTTTGAAAACGATTTTTATCACAAGATTCCGCCACTATAGCCAATATATCCAATATAAATAGGATAGAAAATAAATGCAATTGGAAGGTTAGATATTATCACATTCGGTTAACGTTGAAGGAAGTTTCATTGTAGTAAAATTTCCCTCATATCAAAACTGCCAAAGAAGACGTAATAGAACTATTAGCTGTTGCTTTCTTGTTGCAGCGGTAGAAACCTTTTCCGAAATAATTTCAAGGAAGATGTCCTGTTGACACTTTCAGTACCTGTCAGCCAGTAGAAGGAAGGTCATTGTACTACACTCTCCACTGCTGCGCTGCTTCTCAAGACCCTCCTGGCTGATATGCGATACCAGGTTATTAACTTAATTGCTGCGTGACTGTCTACCTTTATGTTAACTCTGGAGCTGACTGCACATACATTAAAGGATAACTTTCCCAATAGCAAAAACCTCTGCTTAAAATATACGGAAACGATCAGGCAGTTGAAAACGCTGCCTTATGTTTAGTTCTGGAAAGTCTATCTATAAACTAAATCAAGAGCCGCCATTGATGTTTTTCTTGGAGCTGTCTTATGCAAAGCGCAGGGAATGCCTTCCACGACATTATAGCAACCTCAGACTCGCTTACTAAAATATTTTTTTATCGTGAAAGCGTCAGATTAGCCTTTGTCATTAGGGTTTCTTCGCAAGTGCTGTCAGCTCGTTTGAACAACTGTTTGTTCAATTCACCACTATCCACTGCTTTGGTAAAATTGGGTTTTTACGAGCTACAAAATATCTTTCATCAGTGCCCTCCACAAGTACGAATATTTTAACAGAGTAACATCAGATCTATGTTGGATGGACATAGTTATTGTTTAGTCAGTTATGGAAATATCATATCATCATATGGCCGAGTCGAATAACGACATTATGAGAGAGTTCTTATCACCGGAAATTTCGATTTCCACCCTTCACCATCGATGGCTTTCGTTATACTAGTTGTGCTATTTATTGAGATAACGTGTGATTCAAGTAGAGGCACTTTTTACAATAGCCCTTTTTTTAACAGATCACGTCATGTTATTTTTGATGAATGTTGTTTGGCATTTCATCCTGGAAAGACTTATTCTAGTTCTGTAATGTGTGGTCAATATATGATCGAAGACCGTAAGGGGCCGATTCGGCGCCGTTTGCAGCATTTCGGACTGAACTATGGAACGACTTGGAGTATTTTACGACGAAATCTTAAATCGATAAAATACAGCTTGTGCAAGAATTGCGTCCGCTTGACATTCCCAAGTGACATCGTTTTGCTCTACCTGCATTGGTTCAGCGATCGGGCCCATTTATGGCTCAATGAATATGTAAACAAGCTAAATTGCCGCATTTCGAAAAAAGGGTAATCTGAAAAGTTTCAAGAGCTGCCACTTAATCTAGAAAAACCACGGTTTGCTGTGATTTTTGGGCCGATGGATTCATAGGTCCATATTTCTTCAAAACTAATGCCAGTGAGAACGTAACCTTCAATGACGACCGTTGTAGCTTCAGGAACCGAATATTTGATGCCTGAAATTGAAGCTCGCGACCTCGGCGACATACACACTTCATGTTTTTGGCGGGTCGATTGGTCACCAAGATCATGTGATATCACACCGTTAGACTTTTTTCTTTGGGAATACGTAAAGTCTAAAGTGTATGCGGACAATTCCTCTTCGATCTAGACATTGGAGCAAAACATCACGTGCGTCAGTTACCAATCTAAATGCATGAACGAGTTGTCGAAAATTGGACTAAAATGATAGACCATCCAAGATGTAGCCACTACCAATATTCTCCAAAGCATAAAACAACAAAAGCGAAATTAAAATTAGTTTCATATAACATATCACATCTCAGGTTTTTATTTAAAAATAAATGTTCCATTCTTACTTCAAATCTGAAAACTTAAACGTTAGCGGAATGGCGGGAGTACTAATTAAGTGATAACTGAACGGTTTTTCTACCGAATGATTGTACTCGATATTGAAATTGCGCACTAAATTTGCCAGCGTTAATTCCATTTCTATTTCAACAATGCGCCTGCCGACGCAACTACGCGGTCCAAAACCGAAAGGCAAATTGATAAATTTATTCACATTCTCAGCAACTAGGCGCTGTCCATCGGTTAGCGTTGTATCCTGCTTTCGTAGCCAACGCTCCGGTATGAACTCACGGGGCCGTGGATAGAATAGCTCTTCATTGGCCAGCATATTTGTGCTAAGCAAAGCACCGGTGCCCTTAGGCACCTGATAACCACTCAGTACAAGGTCGGCACCGACTTCGCGCGCATTACCGAAAGCGAGAGGGTAGAAACGTAACGCTTCCTTGATGCAGGCGCGTAAGTACGGCAATTGTTTCATAGTTTCAATAGTGAACTGGTCATTGCGGTGTGGCAGCACGGCAATTAGCTCTTCACGTAGCTTCTGTTGCTTTTCGGGGTTCTTAGCGATGCAGAGTAGTATGGCAGTGATTGCACTGGATGTCTAGTAAAATTATTTTATTATATTTTTGTTAAAAATTTCTCTTATGATACTCACCCCATCCACACCAGCCATCAGCATATCCATTGCCATTACTATAGCTGTCTTGCGATTGATTTTCAGTAGTTTTTCTAGAACACTGCGTTCTTCACCATCCTTTGAGTGGTTTTCTTCCAGACGTACCAACGCTTCATTTACATAGTGATTCGTTATATCGAACATTAGATCCATTGATTTAGCGAAGCGCCTGTATGACGGTGTGGTAATGTATTTATAGAATGATGGCTTAATGCCCAAGTCATAAATGGACTTTAGAAATGCGCTCATGTGCTCACAAAGTACTCTGACTTCTTCCAAGTCGGGATTCCTACGAATCAAACCGAAATCATGATCTACAGCAACTACTCCAACAKAATCAAAAGCGAGATGGTTGATGTCCTCAAAGAAGTTGTTGGGTACTTCCAGTGTATGGGGATCGCGTATTTCACGTATTCTAAGATATTGAGAAAGTGCAATTATTAAATTAAAAATTTGAAATTCAAAAAATAATTCAAAATATTTAATAAAATTACTTTACTTGTTAATTTTAAAGTTTCAATGCAAGAATATATAAAATGTACACAATTTATTGAAACGGCCAGGCTTTATTATAAAGATAATGATTTGTCTTTATGTTTTCCGAATAATTTCAGGCAAATGAGTGTCGGTGCTTGATCGAGTAAATTCCAATCGAGCGGTCCAATTTTCTCCGAATATTCTCTTTCAAGCAGGCAATCGTCTCGGGATTATCGGCGTACACAATCGACTTTACATAACCCCACAAAAAAGGCCAGCACCAAAAAAAGTATTGTCTTATTGAAAACCACATGTCCAACAAGCACCCTGTACTTCCTATAGAATTCTATAAGCTTACCTTTCTATAAACTCTAAATTCACTTTCTGTAGCGGCTCCAAATAGAGTTTGGCATTTTTAGGCTGCATCAAAACGGGATTTACTACATGGCGGAACTGTGCCCATTTTTCACCGCTATTTTAAATAGATAAAATTTGAGTTATTCACATGTAATAGATAAAATGTTAAACATAATCGAATCTATGTTATATATGTATAATATGTACATATATATAAAATTTGTCTCTAATGAGTAAAAATATTCGCACTCTCTAGAGCCCAGAGAGTACTATCGGGTTTTTCAATAGAGACGCTACAAAAGTAGGGACAGCAAACGACGCCATTCTTTCCCTCTTTTGACATTTTTCTTCAGTAAGGTCTGTCATTTTATCACGGAAATATGCATGTGTATAGAAAGACTCAAATCAGTCTCTCACAAGTTGTTCTCAAGCATTGGGCATCTCTGTGACGTCATTGTGACAAGTTTTGCGACATCCTTACAAGATCAAATTGATTTAAGAACTGAAGCCGCTTGACCACCAGAAGTGAGCGAAAACTTGAAAATGATCCGAATTTTCATCGAAAAATCATCTTCGGTGCGATGATTCTGACTGAATGGCTTCATCAATAAGCAAAATATACGTTATTGATTAGGCAGTAATCCACACGTACTCCATGAGCCACCATTGGATCCCAAAAAAATTACGGTTTGGTCCGGTTTAGGGACGGCGGTGTCATAGGCCTGTACTTTTTCCGTGATGATCACGACTGGCACGTTATTGTGAATGGGAATTGTTGCCTCTCAACGGTTCAATGTTTCAAAGTCTGAACTTCTGCAAGCGTGCCCGTGGTGGCTATGCAAAAGAAATAAAGTCCATACATAATGGCATCGAATGGACTTTCACAGAAATAAAAAATTTTATCCATGACTTTGGTAGCGCTCTTATTTAATCATCGGTCCAAAACGGTACGAAGCTGACAAAAGTACTCGGTCACGGTAGAAACTATGCAGGAGTTGTTCATTTTACTGTATAAAACTTTTTTTAAACACTCTCAAAAATAAGTTCATGTTTCCACATTTGATAAGAGGTACGCATTGCTTAGCCGGAGTACTCAGTAGCATATATGTATATTTAATGGGAAATAAGATTAAAATGTCAGATATGTGGATATCACATTCCGCATAATTCTTTTTATAAGTGCTCATGGTTAAGTGAAGCTAGCGTACGCTGGTTATTTTTGGAAGACAATTTCGTTTCAAAATAATCAGACGAGTTTCGAGGAGTTCCCAAATTGAGATTAAAAGAACTAGGATAAAGTCAGTCATCTGTTGAAATATACTCAGTGGTTATCTAATATAAATACTCAAAAGCGAATCACGTTTCCGATTTCCTAAACAATGGCGACATATTTCAGTAAATCTAAGTAAATATGAGGTGGTGTGTTGCATGACTCGTTACAGCTGGTTTCACAGCTGTTCCTCTAGGAAATGCTATGCCGCAAATATAAGGCATATATACTATATACTAAATATCTGGCCAAACAGCCGAAATGTAAAAGTTTCATATTAAAAATAGTTAGAACAAACTCTTACTTATCATTCAAACCCATAGTTTCCTTGAAGAATCCGTCCTTGCGGTTTTCTCGATAGTATCTCACCGCGTCAGTACCAGGACGGCTTGGCCAAATACCTTCCGTACGATAGACTTTTTCAAAATCGTCGACATTGAAGAGTACAACAGAATCAGGCTGTCCAATCACACCAGGCAAACGGTAAATGTCACCGAGCCGTTCACGACATTTAAAAACGAAATCATTTAACGAAAGATCGGCAAATTCACCTGCAAAGTAGAGGAAAATAAAAAGAGATCGAAAAAAACTTTAATAAAAAGAATACGAAGTAAAGTTAGTAGCTCCAACTGACCTCCTTTCAAGAAGCCACGTAGCATTTGATATCTGGTCAGTCTCGGCATAGATTTATAAGGTAGAGCCTGTTGCCACTCCACGTCCGCTGGTTTGTTGTCAAGACCTTCAAACTGAGGCAATAAAAAATGCGCATTGTAATAATATTTTTATTTTACTATTTATATTATATATTTATTTAAAATTAGAAAAATATAATAATGATGAAGGAAATATAATAAAATATAAAATATGAGCCACTTTAATGCATTTATTTACCACCTTGACATTGCTGACTGTCGATTGAAATGCGACTTGGCATTTTTGCAACTGTTGTTGCTTTTCATTGTGTATAAACAAACGCGTAATAGTCGTGCCGGCACAACGAACATTCAAAATTGCTGACATTCTGAAAACGATTTTCACGAAAACTCAGATTTGCATACAAACTCGGTCGAAATGTAAATATTTCGCACTTTCAGAATAAAGTTGGAAGCTTTGCGCTTGACTCACGGCATAAAACTGAAAAGTGAAATAAAGTAGCTGTCACTGGTGTATGCAATTAATAATGAAAACAATGATGACAATGCCTCAGAATTGGGGAGGGGTATTTAAGAATGATTAGATTGCAATTATTTGAAAACTATGAGGAAAGTGGTTTGTTTGCGAAACCGTTTTCGTTGTTAAGTATGGAAAAAAACAATTAAGTTAGTTATGTAATTTTCCAGGGAAAGTGGATGGTCATGGATCGTAAAAACTCGATGTATTATATATTATATTAACCGTCTTGAATTGAAAGCACTGGCTTTTCCTATTTTAGAATGTATGTTAGTAGCTTCCAAAATTTCATATTTGGATCTGCTTAGTTCAACTTATAACCCTTTCAAAATTTATTTGCTCGCCTGCAGTGATAAGATAATTATAGTATGCACATTTATGAGTATGTACTTAGGTGCTTATGTACTTAAGTCAATAAACTTGGGTGTAATGGGTGTAACATTCTGAAGTATCGCGCGGTTCAGAAAAAATATTTTGTTGTGGCGTAAAGTAGTTTTAAAAAATATTAAGGTATATCAATAATACAATAATATTTAATATAGGTTTAGCGGGCTTCGAATCAGCTCGTTATATTTGCGTGCTGCTCTCTTTTGTGAACCAAATTTCATATAAAGAGAGAGTATGCGGATACCTCAGAAAAGTGTTATAAATGCTTCTTCTTTTTTAAGACAGGTTTTACTATTGCTAATGACTCAAATGACAAATAACAACTGAAAACAAGTATATAAAATAATGTATTTAACTTTTTAAACTGAAGACATCAAAGTAATAAATGGATTATAGCAATAGTAAGGTTCGAAATTAAGAGATTAAACAAAAAAATAGATATTTTCTTACATATTATTTTTTTTCCATCCCGAAAGAGAATCTATCCACAAATAAAGCAAAACACAACTGCTCAAGCATCAGACCACAATTTAAGCGCAGGGTTGCAACGCAAGTGTTGTTTCTTTGACCAATTGGTATAATTTATTCGTTTCACCACTCACCAGCGTTTGACGCATCGATGGCAGCTTTATAACTGACACAACAAAATGCTCCAATTTTACGTTAAAGCTAAATAAATAGTGAAAATATTGCACTGTACCTATCTCGGCACCCTTTCGCTACAAATATTTACATTAATATAGTTATTATTAGTATAAACATAGTTAGCTTATCTGTAAACAAAACTGCTCAAGTTCAAACTTGAATATTGAATATAATTTCATCACATTGTTTTAACAAACTCACCGGGAAAAGGTAAAAAGACGTATAAATTTTAATAAAAAGATGAAAAGATCTCTGACTTTTACAGAGATACTCTTATCTATGTGTGACTTGCAATTATTAAAGTTTAACCTTTGGGTCGAACAAAGACTGGGTAAATCAATGTTCAGTGCTATACATGTAAATTAACTTTTACTGAAATGAGAGGGAATAATAATGTTGCATCGTGACATTGCACAATTTACAATCTGTTTATTCTATAATTGTTATTGTTTCTTTTTATTAATATAACAGGGGGCGCTAGATCGTAAAAGTGACATTTTCATATTTCCTGATAAACATTATTGATAATGCTTTTGTAACGACGAGTGCGCGTATATGTATATTAGAGCGGGTCGATTTACAGTGAGCCATGAAACGTTTCCAATTTTTAGAATTCTTTAGGTCAGAACGATACGTAGAACATTTTACGCATATACGAATTTATAGAAGAAATCGATCCGCTCCATTATAAATATATATATTCTCGGAAATTATTCAAAATTCTATATAACGAGCAAGCTTAAAAGGCATTAAAATATTTAATCGTTTTAGAGATAATTACACCTACTTACATATGTAAATGAACACTGCACTACAATTAAACGATGATTTTAGAATTTTCTGAGGTGATTGGAATACTTTCGTTTAAGTAGAGCAGAGCCAAGTTTATCGATAGTAAGTTATCAGGCTGATAGCGTTATTTTTCTATTCTATTATTTTCTATTTTCTTAGCCTGAAAACTTAATCAAACTCCAACAACTCGGCTAAAATTCATTTACCAAACCACATTAACAATATTAATACAATATATGTACGAGTAAACTGCGTTTAATAACGTTTTCGTTTTCCAAAGTCTATGTCGCAGTCATTTGATGAAATAATTCCATGGGAAACCACCTTCAGGTTGCGAATGAACTTTTTTGTTGACGTTAAATGTTTTCTTGATATTTTAGCAAAGCCCAATCATTCGTCTGGTAACTGTTATGACCAATATAAAGCAATAATTTAATTTTTTTGTTTCCATTGATTACAGAGTCTGACCATATGTTTTGACCACTGTCTTCTTGCAGTAGCCAATCATGGTTATTTTTTGCAGCAAAGCATTTCAGCTGACGATAGTAAATCCATTTTAATACTATTTTATCATTTTAATGACGTTCAGGTTTTCTGTGCATCACAGCATCACAAAACCCCAAATCCATGAGTGGATGTACTTAACATCCCTTTGACAGAATGTTCATTCTCTTCTTAACCAAACACGTCTCAAGAAGTTGAAATAGAGAACATAAAACAGTCTTTAGTTGAAAAATACAAAAATTTACTAATATATAAATATTAAACAATTCCAATCACGGTTCATGTGAATGATATGTTCTGAATGTGTTTTTTTAGACCGGAAATACCGGGAAGTGGTTTCTTCTTTAAAGTGAGAATAATACATTTATCTTTCACTTATCTTGTCACTTTCTATAGTATATATATATAGTAGATCAAAAATTAAAGTAAATATCGTCCTCTAATACAATTATGGATGCTATGATATGTCTTCGGAAACCATAACAATGATATACAAATTTTTAAAACATTTGCTTTTTAGCTATTGCTGAATTTTCCTTCTCCTTTAATTAAACATCTGAAAATTAGGGTCACTATGAGTCTACTGCTGACGCCTTTTTTTCTTTTCAAATACCGATGAGGGATATGTGGATGGGTTGAAGTTGCTGGATAAGATGTGCAGTGAGCTTTTTCAAGGAAGAGTTAAAGCTACAAGAAAAAGTTGTAGAAGAAGTTTTCTGAAAGTAGCTCTCCGCCAAGCTTAGCTTTAACTTACCGGATCATTTTGGTACTTTCAGGCAGAATATGGTGTTGCTCCGAAGTGCAGCTGTCTTTAGGGAGAGGAGCAGCACGGTCAAATTTAGTAGTGCGTCGATGCCCACCACATATAATATCAGGTTACTATTTTATCAAACTAACTGCCAACTATAAAATCCATATGCTATCAAGAGAACCCTTTGTCCATCCACTTCGGAATGACTTCTTCGTTGTCGTTTTGCGTTTTCGCTTTGAATTTGTGGACCTTGCGTGTTGATTGGTACGTTCAGGGTGTCAACCAGCGAGATCCTCTTGGCTTAGAGGAGAATGCTTTCTACTACTTTCCCTTAGAAAATTTCAGCTTGATGTAATAGGATTAGTTCCAACTGTTATTATTATGTTAGAACTTAATTGTGAAAGTTGAATGTAAGAGCACGTGGTAGATACAGTCAAAAAAATATTGAACTCATTTATATTTGAGCTTTTTCTATGGTGTGAAGAGTTCTTTGGGAGGATGGAGTCTTGTGTGGAAGTTCACGCAATTCAGAAAATTTCTCTGAGCGCCATTCACTTGTGTGTGGCTAGAAACGATTCTTTTATATATGACTCAAGAAGCTCACGACACCCAGTCTTAGACCAAGTGTCTCGTAAAAGTAAAGGCTGACATCACCACCGTTCAAGAAGTGCGATGGATGGACAAGGGTTGACACGAGTAGCTCATAGTGGCATTTAATTCTTCGAAAAGATGAGGCGACTAGCAGTTTCAAAACCGGAGCATACTCTTGTGGAACCCCTGTAGTGGATCTAGTGACTGAAAGGACGAACGCACACCAGCTCTGAAAGTGTTGGATGCAGTACCCGCCGGGGGAAGCAGAGGAATAGAACTAGCTCTTCTCCTTTGGAGAAGCGAAGTATTAAAAATTGTTTGCAAACCGTTGTTATATTAGAAAAGGTATTTTTAAGGTAAATATGTAAGTGTATGAAAAATTTTGAACAATAAACAACGCGTTTATGAGCCAATAAAGTCAAGTTTATCACTTTTCTAGAGTATGCTATTAGAGGGCTTTTGAATTTTCAGTTTTTCGGCTGCCCTTACGTTTTGCCACTAAAACCGTTATACTCACTCAAATTTAGTGGTCCATAACATTTTCGAATATGTTGCATGAACTTATGTATTCACCTACACTCAGCTGCACCTACTTACATACATCATTCGAACAATAAATATCCCATAAAATATGGATCTTTTATTTACTTTCATTGCCACGCGTTGGCCCGGAACTCGGACGGCCAAGGCATTACCGCAAAAAATGTAAGTACCTTCACAGCCGACGGAAGCCATTAGGCATATCATACATACGGACAAGTATGCTTGGTACACCAGTAGCCAGCCGGTAACAGTTGGTCAGCGTAGGTGGAGCATCATGCTGGTTTACAGTTTTCTTTTTGACACCGCTGATGCCTGCAGTAAAGGCACTACGAAATACTAAAACAAAAAAACAAAAACGCTGCTGCTGTTGCACTTTTACTTCCACGGTCCAAATCACCTGCGCTTGTGTGCGGCTACATAAATAATTTACATTTGACCGTTTTAGCTGTGAAGTGTCGGCTCGGCGGTGAGGAGGCGTTGATGTAGTGCAACGAGGCATGTAAAGTGGCAAGTGTCGGTGGCAGTAGTTATCGCATGCGCTGAGATTTAAAGTTCGTAACACAGTTCATACATTCATATACATATTTACATATTTACATATGTATATATGTGAGTGCAATTGCAGCGCTTGAGCGCATTTAGTTTGGCATTTTTATGGCCGCCACAGCAGCTGGAAATTATTCACACATAACAATCACACAACAGTAACAGCACCAACTACAATAACAACAACAACAACAAAAGCA